ACATTTTTTTTTCGTACAAATTCTTTACAGTCTATCAAAAGTGCACTGTGGAACATAGGCCTCCCCAATTGAAAGTTCAGCCCTGTGACATATTACATGTGCATATTTGTCCTAGTTGCCATGATTGGCAGACGGGTTGGCCAGATCAACATAGTATTCACACAGAATCGCATAAATTGAAGTTGAAATTGTCGAGTGCTGATCGACATTGATTTGTAGCTAGAATTGTATCTTAATTTTTTCACTAAGGGCGATTCTGAAAGCTAAATCGAAACGATGTTGTCTACTGACTAAATTGATGATTGTTTCCATTACATACAACCGATTTTGACAACGTCATCATCTTGCATTTTAAAACAAAAGCAATTTTCACAATGAACGTATAATGTATGTGTAACGGCAAAAAGAAGCACCCACTTGTCCTGTTATAATATCGGATGGGGCACCCACGCTACTATAGCGCAGGAACAGTCGTACAGTACAAGGAATCAGAACCACACAACCAGGACTATACTCAACTCAATCAAAAATTAATTCGACGTACAAATTATCAGTCACTTTAGTGAAACAATTCTAAATTCGATATTGGAAAACAAATGTGTAACTGCAAGCAAGTGCATCCTGCTGATTGACGAATGAGACTAGCGATCAGCTGATGGAGACAAATCTATCTAGTAACCCTGAACTAAAAACTCAGACTATGGGGGGCAGTATAACCAATGCCAGTGGCTCACTGTGTATTTACTGCTTGCAGGCAAATTGGTAATCGCAGCACAAGAGGTGTTCTTTGATGCTGGTCACTGGTTTGGGTATATTACTTCTGACGTAAACGAGATGCTTACTGACACCTAAAAGAGTAGGCCTAAACTAGGGTTTCCTTTTGACATGATCATGACACATTCTCTCCGTTTCTTTCATGTTACATGCTCGCGGTTAAGGGTACAGTAATACCCTAAACTTAGACCTTAGATTTGGGACAGAGCGATCATCGTGTAAATCGAAGTATAATTTTATTTATTTAAATTAATACAATAAGTATATAAAATAATTTTTAAAGAAACATGTGTAAAATCTTATCGTGAATCGTAATATGTATGTAATGTTTATATATAAAATCAGTTACTGTCCGTTAGTTACTCTCGCTAAAACTCAAAAACGGCTTAACCAGTTTTGATGAAATTTTTTGTGTGTTGTCGTAAACAAAATATGTAATTAAAAATTGCAAAATTGTACGCCGAAGTTATTTTAACGTGTAAGGCTTCATAAATCTTTTTGGCATTTTCATCCCACCCAAATTGCGAAACATGATGATGGAATCTCTTAAGCCGCAATACGGCATAGGTGCTTAAGAATGTTTTTTAATATTTCATATTATTATGTCTTAACATTTTTATAATATATAGTAAGGGTTACAAACAATCACAAAGTCCATTTGAAGGTGATCAAATGCAGATGCGTTGTCACCCCTGAGGGCTAAGATGGAATGCCTCGTTTCAAGAAAATAGGATCTCCGGTTTTCTATGCTCACCATACCAAACACAATAGCATTAAGCTTTCACTCTCGTATTATGTGCGAGCTTGATTCTTCCCTAGTCAAGCCGACCCTTTCGTGGTACAACAATCAAAATATAGCTATAGTGTGGCTCTACCACATATGACACATGAAAATTAATATATGTTGTACTTCTAAGATTTTTGATTGTAAAATATATCGATTGTTCATTGTAAAATATATCGAATATTGTGTATATGATATTTATTGCCAAGTATAGATGTAGCGCTGATTTTAAATTAAAGTCTAACTGTCGTTTGAACCTTGGCAAACCAGTCCGGTTTAATTTTATAGCGCCAGCTAACATTAAAACGTTTTAGCTGATTAGGTTAATTTTATAATTGATTTTTACACACAGTTGTTAACATTGGTAATGTGAATAATTAGCTCCTATATTATTACAGATTCGCTTAAATAATAAATTGAGATTATATTACACTTGCAATTGTACCGTATATATACTAAATAAGGTACTAAAGACATTAAATAGGTTGGCTTTTAATATCTTTAGTTTTATAATTATCTTTTCATTTCATCATTCATGATACATAAGCTCATTTTGTCTAAATCGGACCAAAAATTAATATTCAAAAACTGAAGGTAGCCGGACTAACTATGACATTGGGACGTCAAACATCTCAGCCCCCCCCCCCGTGACCACGGGTGCTGTAAAGCACCCGAAACGTCGGGATAATAAAAATAAATTAAAGTTGAATTAAACGCGATAATATCCGTAAATAATAGTTTTATTTAATGTGTAGTGTTTTATTTAATGTGTGTGTCGTAAATTTAAGAAATCATTATCTTTAGTACCTTATTTTTTTTGCGTATTAAAATAAAAATGTGGCTTATCCAGTTTTAAGAGTACCTTCTTATTCTCCTCATCATCAGGAAACCTCCTGATTATGCCTTATTAAGAAACGAAACATGTGTCGTATTTTCGACGTCGGTGTGATTTTCCTAGTACAGTGGTGACGCGGATAGCGCACGCAATTGAGGGCCTCCCCCATAGATTGCCTCCTTGGGGATTTTTTTATAGAAGGGGGGGCAAACGAGCATGCGGCTCACCTGATGTTAAGTGACTACCGCCGTCCATGATCAACCGCAACACCAGGGGAATTGCAGATGCGTTGCCGGCCCTTTAGAAAGGAGTAAGCTCTTTTCTTGAAGGTCCCCAGGTCGTATCGGTCCGGAAAAATCGCCGGTGGTAAACTATTCCACAGAGAAGTCGTACGCGGAAGAAAACTCCTTGTGAAACGTACAGTGGTGGACCGCCAGGCATCCAGATGGTGTGGATGGTAGATATCGCGACGTTTGCCGCGTAGTGCGTTCACGAAATTTGGCGCACTTCCTCAGAGCACTCCCCATGATATATGCGAAAGAAAATGCAAAGAGACGCAACATCTCTTCGCAGCGCCACTGAATCGAGCCGATCGGAAAGCACTCGGTCGTCGACGATTCGAGCCGCTCTGCGCTGGATGCGGTCAAGTGGAAGGAACCAGCTTCTTCCACTTGACCGCATCCAGCGCAGAGCAGAACTGGGGAGCCCCAGCCCAGAGATGGGAACAGTATTCCATGTGCGGCCGAACCTGCGCCTTATAAAGTTGCAGGCGGTGTGCCGGCATGAAGTACTGTCCCGCTCTGCTGAGCACGCCAAGCTTTTTAGAGAATTTGGCCTTCTCTTCCAAGTGACCACGAAACTGCACGTCACTCGATATGTCGACGCCGAGGATTCCGATACTGGCTAAGGCAACAAGAGGAGTGCCTTGAAACTGAGGAGAAACGACAAAGGGGTTATTTTTAGCGGTTAACTCGCAAACTTGTTTCTTCTGAGGGTTAAACTGGACTAGATTTAGTCGCCCCAATCCGAGACTCTATTCAGCAAAGACGCGACTTCAGACACAAGTTTGTCCCGGTACTAAAACCAATAAAATCATCGACCACTTTTTGAATTTACCAGTCAGTAACGAAACAGTTGTTCAAAAAAACTTCACTAGTTTAATTGATACACCAGAGCTTGAGATGCTGGTCCTAAAATCTACTACAGAACAGGAAGTAAAAGTTATTATTGATAATATAAAGACCAATGCAGAGGGACACGATGGCATTAGTATAGGGATGATTAAGCTGACTCTAGGTGTGACTCTTCCTATTATTACGAGGATACTTAAATAAGTCAATTGAAACAAATACTTTTCCATCACATTCAACATATTTTTTTTTATTTCTCAGACATGCAGGTTTCAAACACAACAACATTTGAAAAAAGTTGAACAACGCCCTATAACTGAACTTGCTTGTTTGCACTTGCTCATTATTGAATCACTGCCTTAGTACAGCCTATATACGAGTACATCCCACAGCTGGGCAAAAGCTCGCTCTCTTTCTGAGAAGCTTCTGGAGTGATGAGTCGGCCGCTCTGCTCCAGTGCGTGTTAAGTTAGCAAACCTCATTTGTCCTCAAAATATTTTAATCCTCAGCAATGCAGGTTTCCTGACGATGTTTTTCATCACCGCGAAGAAGGTGGTAAATCAGCACGTAAAATTCCAATCAACAATTTTATTGGATTCTGTGGGGATCGAACCCGGGTTGTTTGTGTACTGTGTAATTTATGGTGCTAAAAGCTTAGCAACTGAGCTGCCACGGCACTCTCTTTGCTTTCCTAATTTAATTATATATCAATTTTTGTATAAACACAATACTAATAGTATACTATAACACAATACTATATAACCATATACTATACTAACAATTTTATTAACATTACTACCCCTCCAATTAAAATTAATTGTCGTGATAGAGCCATGCTGCAGTTATGTTAGTAGTATAGTTGTAGCTTGACCGGGAAGGACAACGCTCTCACAGAATACCAGCGTAAAATAGTAGCTTAATGCTGCTGTGTTTCGTATGGTGAGTGTAGAGAACCGAAGACCCTTTTAACTGGAAACAATGCATTAAATCTTAGTCTTCACGGGTGACAAGGCATCTGCATTTTGATTCGTAATCGAGGATAGATGTAGATGTCTATGGACCACAGCAACCACCTACCATCTGGTGGACTGTGTGCTCATTTGTCATCCTATCCTATAAAAAAAGTTGTCGAATGGAGAATGGAACTCTCTACTTTTACGTTTGTGCTTCGACAATCAACCATAAAACTACTTTTTTTAAGTAATTAAAAAATGTTTTCTTTAATTCCACTGTTATACACGGAATTTCCAAAGTAGTACAAGCAGGCACGCAAACTTGCAACTTTCGCCCATCTTGCCCAATAAAAAGCCGATTAATAGATTAACTCTGCGAACTCTGTATCATAAGAAGCGACTATGCGAAATAACATACTATACAGATCCTTCCTACACCGTAGAGGCCCCTGTTCACCACCAGTGTATCAGCTCAAGATCACATAACTAACATGTGACTTGTACTCACACAGATGTTGTTCCAGAGTGATATGTCGACGCGGAGCGGCGCGAGCGCTATCCGGGCACGCCGCGGGCATAAGGAACGCTCCAAGAACTTCACGGAGCTGGAGAAGCGCACCGTGCTCGAGCTGATCGCGCGCCACCGCGACGTGCTGCGCCAGGGACGCTCCAACAACGCCACCAACCGCAGTAAACAGGTCGTTACTGCTTCCTACTTTCTCTTACTTTACTTACTCCTACTACGCAATGAGCAAGATTTGACACAAAAATACATGACGTTCATATGACGCACCTAATGCCATAAGGAATTCTCTCCTAGTCATTAGGACATACAAAGATAAAAGTAAAGGAGGCAACTACAAAAAAAATTGGTTGACCCTGCAGGCCATCCTGGAACTTTCCGCTAATTTCAGTATCAAAGCGCTCCATATTCCAATTATTATGACGTCGAAGTTTGAAGTCGGTTAAAAAGAACTCCTAGGTAGAACAGAAGCCCTTTCATTTAAAAAATACTCCCAAACATATAATTACACGTGGTAGAGCCATGCTGCAGTTATATTAGTAGTATAGTTGTAGCACGAATGGGTCGGCTCGACCGGGGAAGGATCACGCTCTCATAGAATACCAGCGTGAAATAGTAGCTTAATGCTGTTGTGTTTCGTACGGTGAGTGTAGAGAACCGGAGACACTTTTTACTGGAAACGAGGCATTCCATCTTAGTCCTCATGGGTGACAACGCATCTGCATTTTGATTTGTAATCGAGGATAGATGTAGATGTCTATGAGCCGCAGCAACCACTTACTATAAGGTAGACTGTGTGCTAGTTTGTCACCCTATCCTATAAAAAAACAGTATATTTTACTAATACGCGTAATACTCATAACTGGGAATTTTTAACCTTAGTTCTCTCCTTATTTCATTTTTGATAACGATAAGACACCAATCTATCTGATTTATCGTTTTTTGTTATTTCAATTATCCATAATCGTGACTTCTAAAATTAACCTGAAGATAATGACGTGAGAATTCTGATTTTTAATAAAAATTGCGGTGAGTTTAACATGGGATTCTTCATCGTCATCAACAGTCCACTACTGAACATTGGCTGTTCCTATTTTTAGAATACGCCGTTATCGTTAAGCTCGGCAAGCGGATTTGCAATTACTATACCAAACTTTTTAAAAACTAGTCTTAATGACCAGTCTAGTTTTTACATCTGGTAGGTATCAATATATATAAATTTCATACCGCTACCAGTGATATACTAAAAATATATTAATGACCGTAATCTTTAGCACAGTTAGAAATTCGCATAGTCGACTGGTACGACACTCACGGGATGAGATAGGGTTATAGATCACTCTGGATATATTATTATGTATTTAAAAAAAGTTACAGCCTATATACGTCCCACTGCTGGGCACAGGCCTCCTGTCATTTCTAAAAGTTTTTAGGGCAAAGAAGTGTCCGCCACACTGCCCCAATGCGTATTGGCGAACTTCACATGTCTTCGAAAAATTTCTTTTTCTTATTTCTCAGACATGCTGGTTTCCTTACGATGTTTTCTTTCATCGTAGAACACGTGGTGAATCAGCACTTAAAAAATGCAGTTAACAATCTGGGGGCACGGCAGTGCCCCCGCCAAGTCGAGCAAAAAAGCAGCACGGCCGTACCATACTTTTCTCGAATTTCGACCCCCTAGAACTTCGTAGTGGATAAAACTAGAAGCCTGAATTTTCAGTAACCTAGTAGGCATTGTATAAAAATAGTATATTTCAAATTTCATTCAATTTGAACTAGTGGTTTAAAAATTATAACTAGTCAAAGTTTCTTAATTTTGTCACTCACTGACAGACAGATCATCAAAACTCTAAGGCACTTCTAGCAGACATAGAAGCTTCAAATTTGGAATACAATTAGTGTTTAGTGTATAAATCAAGAAAAGACTAAAATATTTTTATAATTTCGGTCCAGTTTTCTAGATACACCAACTGCATAAATAACTTTGTAATCCCACATAAATATATACAATTACAGTTATATTTGCAGTAAATGAATCAGTAGACTTATATATGTGTAACAGGTAGATAGGCACGTTGTTGGTATTCAAGAAGTAGAAGATACCGGAAAGGTAAAAAAGTAGGACTATCTTATCTACAATAAGAAATGAGATGCCATCAAAAACATAACTTGTAAAAAAAACAAGTCTCGCAACTCAGTTCTTCTACCGTAAAAAGTTGTGAGATCCATGTAATACCAAGTCGGTTAATTTATTCAGTTCCTACTTAAGGGTCCTTCTGTTTTAAGTTATTACGTAAATTAGCTAACCTAACAACATTTTATGGTGACCATATCAATGTTAAAAATCTTTTATGTTTTAAATATATAGATTGATTTGGCAAACGCACTAAGCAATTTAATTTAATGTAATATCTATTACTTGTGAGGATACATTGTGTTTTCATGCGATGGCCAAATCAATCTATATATTTAAAACATAAAACATTTTTAACATTGATATGTTCACTATAAAATGTTGTTAGGTTAGCTAATTACGTAATAATTTAAAACAGAGGGACCCTTAAGTAGGAACTGAATAAATTAACCGACTTGGTATTACATAGATCTCACAACTTTTTACGGTAGAAGAACTGAGTTGGAAGACTTGTTTTTTTTACAAGTTATGTTTTTGATGGCATTTCATTAATGCCGCCGGAGATCGAACCCGGGTTATAGTGAAATGTACAGCGAGCGCTACCCATCTGAGCTACCACGGCGCCATTATGTTTTTATTTATACTTTATTGTAAAACACTTTATTAAAAGGATTACAAAGGGCTAACTTTAAGCCTTTTCGCTTTCTCTTTTAATTTTAATCAACCTGGGATTTGTTTAAAAAAAATGTGATAGGTGCCAAAAATAAAAGGGAATAACATGGCAAATTAGAAAAAAAATTAAGTACTAAACATATTGTTAAAATAATAAAAAATTGCCTTATATTACATATATCTTTTAGTATATATAAATTACGTGTCACGTTGTTTGTCCGCGATGGACTCCTAAATTGATATTACATATATCTCTTAGTATATATAAATTACGTGTCACGTTGTTTGTCCGCGATGGACTCCTAAATTGCTTAACCGACAACGTGAGAGATAGGATAATTTTTTTTGCCCATGAGTGACCCACATTTTTTTTTTTGCGAATTTAATATATATATATATATATATATATATATATATATATATATATATATATATATATATATACATATATATATATATATAAGGCGCAGCTGGAGGCAGAAAGTCGTAGATTCGACATTTCCATAATAAGTAGACTTTACGCGCAAGATGATTCTTCCACCTCTGTTACTGTTCCCTCTGGCTCATCATTATGAAATGATGCAAGAAATGAAATAATTTGTCGACAGAGTTTATAGACATACGATAGTATTTAAGAAAAATCTGGATAAGCTCGTAATTTGTCTCTTTTTACATAATACAGGCCATCTTGTAATCTCAGGGTGTTAAGGGGATGCAATATGTCTGTTTCTTAGCTGGATACAGCAACAATGCAATCGCAATATCGTCCTCCGTATTCGCTGGCGAATATCTGTACTCAATGGCTAGCATCTCTCCACTGAGCCTTGTTATTCCGAACGGGGAAAAAACGTTTGTGTGCGATGTGTGTACGGAATTCCGTATGTATGTGACCGGCCTAAATCTCAAGAAACATTGTTCCGTATTCTGATGATAACCATTAAACTGTTTGAGAGATATAGCCTTATTAAACCAACATTATGTACAATCATACAAATATCAATAAAGATCGATAAAAAGCACATCAAGGTCGCTGTTAGACCGTCCAAACCACCGAATGTATCAAGAATGTGTATCAGACTTAACGTTATCGGAACAGTTATGATTGAATTGTAATTGTTTAGCCATAGTTTTTATAGTTATTTGGTTAAATAACACAACGCAATATTTTATATACATTTTTCACACAAATCAACTGGATGATGTTCTCTTGACCTATCTCGGCCACAGCCCACAGCGGCAACTTTCAAATAAATTCGGAAGCTGTAATCAACTGCACAGGAGATATGTTAATGCCACGGATGTATATATATATATATAGGTACTGACACCAGTGGCACTCGTCTTATTCTTATTCAATATTTTACCTGTGAAAAGGTATCTTTGATCTTTTCCCCTTGGACTAGGATGCAGATGCTAAGAAACAGGGGCGAATTCAAAACAACCAGCAACGCGATTTTGTAACTCTAATGGATTTCATGGTGGGTTTCGTTTTGACATTCGACGTTGGGTTTTGCCTTTTTTTTTTTTAAATGAATATCATATTTTAGTTTCCAATGAAAAATATTAACCAAAAATAATTGCCGAGTGGTTCCCACCGGCAAACGATTTCCACCAGAGTTATACAATCGCACTGCTGAAAACCAACTACGGCCGACCGATGCAGCTACTGCTAAATCTTTCAGATACTACCAGCAGATGTCTTCTGCGAAACATATAACGATCGTAGAAAATTTCGGATGCACTGTGAGAAAACGGTAAATTCAGAAATTTCTTCATTAATTTAATTGAATCATTGCAGCTAATTGATTGTCTCGAAAGAGGGATATTTGCCATAGTTGTACGCTAGGCAGACATGTTGGCACTCTTATGGTAGATATAGCCCAGGTACCTGGGCCTCAGCGTCCACTTACCATCAGATAGATTTTGTGCTTGTTTATATCTTCTACTTTTAATAAACGCTTTTGGCTTGGCGGCTAACATAAAAGATAAAAGGCCTGGTAAGATGCCTGTGATATGAAACGCATAAGTCATATTACCTGCAGATACAAGGCACATTTAAAGTACACATAATCAAGTCGGCAAATAAGACTGTTCAATAAAACATTTTCTAATGGCGTGTCACTATCATTGGACACGTCGTAGAAACGCTTAGCACGCCGCTGTAACGCGATCCTGCGCCGCACTCGAACTTTGCTAACAATGCACTCTTCCGCAACTCGTGTAAGAACCGATTTAGGGCATAAGCGATAGCGGGTGTGTTAAATTGTTTTTTTTAATGCAATCATAAAATATACAAACAATCAGTAATAAAGAGTTACGATTAACATTTTTATTTTTATTAAGACTAGATAGATATCCTTAATATAAGAAATCGATAAGAATATATAGATAGATGATTCTTTGCGGTTTCGCACAGGTGATTTCTGGATCTCAACAACACTGCCACCTACCGGATCCAAATGTGAATTTAAACCTTTTAGGAACCCATTCAAACACAACACAAACACAAGCACACACACACACACACACACACACACACACACACACACACACACACACATGTTTATTAGCTTACATTCGAAATAGCCCCGTAGATGAACTTAACCAAAAAAGGACTACGCTATCGTATATGTGGTAGCTGACTCGTATGGTGAGACATCGCCGTTAGCGGCAGTTCAACAGTATCCATTACCATGGGGTAATGGATACTCTCACCTATATTCACATTATTATTTATTATATACTCTCATCATCCCGTGGGTGTTCTAAGAGGCTACATGGATGACAATTCAAAATAAAAAAATCGGTTGCGAACTATGGCAAATATCCTATGAGGTAATCAATGAAGGAGACCTAATTCAGCAATCATCTTTTCATAGGCTGTAATGAATAATTGAATGAAAAGTGATACATGTAATTATCACAAAATGGTAATTTTTTTTACAAACGACTTCAATATGAATAAAATGAAAACATCATCAATTTATTCGAAGTCAATTAAATACGCATCATTAGGATATCTCAAAAACTACTGGTCAGATCTTGATCAAATTTATATGGGACCACATGAGAAGCAACAGCTTTCAAATAAAAAAAGAATCTTTGAAATCGGTTCACCTAGAAATACAGTCGAATTAAGAACCTCCTTTTTGGAAGACTGTTTAAAACAAAAGTTAATTCTTCTTTCAGAACTAATATGTTATATATATATATATATATATATATATATATATATATATATATATTATCTAAGGGTTTCAATACATATCATACATTTGCCATCCGTCTATTATTATTGAGCATTGTAAAAACGCACGTATGCACAGGCTCCAAAAGCCGTCGCTGCTGTGTATAAAATAAACTTTGTTTTTCTTTTTCTTAACACTTGGTAAAGAAAAGAACACGGGATATGTTAATAGTGTGTCCTCATGTATCGTAAATGAGTTTAACAACCAAAATTGCACACCGACAAACATCCATACCCAGAACAATTCCTATGCCACGTATGCGCTTATGTATTACAAGTGTTTTTTCGGAAGTGTGAATCGACTTTATTCCTAAGAATGCATTTATTTTCTTTGCTCTTCATCTATATACTCGCTAGTACTCCGTTAACCTTTGTTTAGGCCACAACTGTACACAATAATTACAAAAATACATATAATTCGAAAGTTATAAAGTCTACTTAAAAGGCATATTGAAATAGTGATATCGCGACTAAGAAATCGAAAGTCATTAATAATATTTTTTACAGTAATCAATCTATCAAAGCCAAACTTTCATACTGTAAACAACTTAACACTTGCTTGGCACTTTTTGTGTGTATAAGAATATCAATTAGTGTTGTTTTTGCTCCTTTAAAATGGAACCATCGCAGTGTCAGCTCTACAATTATGTAAGTTCTAACGGTTTCAATATAAGTATGGGGTAAGCAAGAAGTTGATAAAAACTGGCTTAGCGAGCTTGTAAATCTCGATGTTGGCTGGATAACTGACTAACTTTTTCTTCGGATAGTTTAAATAATTTTACTTTATTCCGGATTATAAACGTTTGGTTTTGATAAATACTAACTTGATCAATTTTAGAAAAAAAAATATTCTTTTATGCAGGTGATAAGTGAAAATATTGTGAAGCAGTGCCGAGCGTTCTTGTGGTCGTATTTTCCATATCACAATATTAACACAGAACAATATTTCTTTACGTTTGAACACTTATTCTGATAACGCACTTAACGAAAACCACATCTTAACCTTTTTTACCGACTGGAAAAAAATAGGGTGTAAACATGTGAACGGAGTATAATCCTATGGCACTGATATTTTACAAAAAATTGGAATTAAATAAATTAATTAATTAAAATCTATCGAAATTCAAATCTTATCCACCCTACTTTACGAACGGGAATAAACAATCAATTTAGGTTTAATTAGTTAGGCGTTAGGTTTAATTCAAAATTTTGTTTTTATTTTTTGTTATAATCCGTTCTCATGTTACACCCTATTTTTTTCCAGACGATAAAAAAGAGCATCCAGTATATAAAGATTTTATTTTATTTTATGCGAGCCGTACAGAATTCCCAGCACAATAATGCTTAGCACATAGTGAATTTGAAGTTTACGTTGACGTTCCATTGTTTGCAGCTCGTTTGGTCGACGATCTGCGAGGAGGTGAATAAGCGGTGTGGTGGCGACAGGCCGCGAACGCCCGCGCAGGTCAAGATGTGGTACGAGAACTACAAGAAGAAGTGCAAGATGCGCGCACACGAGACGCAGGTACTTAGAGCCTAATGCTGTTGCTATCATCATCACCAGTCCACTGTTGGACATAAACCGCATTAATTACCTTATAAGGGGGATATTTGCCATAGTTTTTTACGTGGTAGCGCCACGCTGCAGCTACATTAGTGTAGCACGAATGGCAAAAAGTATTATCAGGTAAAATATAAATGCCAACTTCGAAAAAAAAATCAAGATTAAAGAGTTTATAATAAACTTTTAGTGATTTGTTGAACTATAACATAAAATTACTTTAACATAAAAAATTTATATATTTAATACGTGGTAGAGCCATGCTGCAAGTTATATTAGTATTATAGTTGTACCATGAATGGGTCGGCTCGACCGCGGAAGGACCACACTCTCACAGAATACCAGCGTAAAATAGCAGCTTAATGCTGTTGCGTTTGATATGGTGAGTGTAGAGATCCGGAGACCCTTTTTACTGGAAACGTGGCATTCCATCTCAGTCCTCAGGGCTGACGACGCATCTACATTTTGATTTTTAATTGAAGATAAATGTAGACTATGTCTATGGGCCACTGTACCCATTTACCATAGTCAGGTGGACAGTGTGCTCGTTTGTCACCATTATTCTATAAAAAAATTATAGTTGTAGCACGAATGGGTCAGCTCGAATAGGACCACAGAATACCACCGTGAAATAGCAAGTTAATGCTGTTGTGTTTCGTATGGAAAGTGTAGAGAACTGGAGACCCTTTTTACTCGACACGAGGCATTCCATCTAAGTCCACAGGGGTGACAACGCATCTGCATTTTGTTTCTTGATCGAGGGTAGATGTAGATGTCTATAGACTACAGCACCCATTTACCATCAGGTGTGACTGTCAGGTGGACTGTGTGCTTGTTTGTCACTACTATTCAATAAAAAAATAGTTTTTTTAAATATTTTCATGCTGCTGCTCGTCACTGCGTTCTGACGACTGTTGATTGGTACCGGTTGTGCCGGAATCAAGCGCGATAATGCGATTGCACCGCACCTGCGCTTGCACACTCGCTCGTGCGCAGTAGTAATCCTGTCCTGCGCACATGGCTGGTCTCCGTTAAGACCGACCGCCTATAGAAGTACTGTCTGAGGAACATAGTCTTTATTATTATTACTATAGAAACTGTATTTAAATAGTAAGTGGTGTAGCCTTAGATGGTAGTTTAGTTTAGTTTGCGACGGGCTGTTTTCCGCAACTCCACGTCTATGCGCGTATTTTGCGTGTGGGCAGGAATAATGTGATTATTCGAGCCATGAGATCTCCCCGAAGAAGCTCAACAGTCCCTTGATGTTGCATGCGACTTCGGGGAGTGATCCCGGCGTGCCGAGATGTTTAGCCCTGTACGTAGCGACCTCCGGACATTTCAGTAGCACGTGGGCCGCCGTTTCTTCCTCCCCCATACATGCCCTGCACAGAGGACTATCTGTAACACCTATAGTAAATAAATGTTTGTTAAAGGTGCCGTGTCCTGTGATAGCACTTGTTACTATCCTGATCTGCGGCTTGTTCAGTCTCATTAAAACTTTAGTTAAGCGACTGTTTATTACAGGTAGGGCCTCCCTAGCTTGCTATCTACTAGATTTTTCCAAAGCTGAGCGTGTTGATTAGTGAAGTGTCTACGTACCATTGAACGAACGTTACCAAAGGGGATTGGTATGATTGGTTCCGGCCCTATAGTGGCCAGAGCCGATCCTCTTCTGGCCAGTTCGTCCGCTGCATCGTTGCCTCTGGATCCACTGTGTCCCTTTATCCATTGCAGAGTCACATTGTTGTTTTTACATACCTCATTTAATGTTGATGGCATTCATATATTAGTCCCGAGTTCACCCCATTGCAACTCAGAGCTTGTAGTTAACCGCCCTACTGTCGGTCAGTATTCTGATGGGGAAGTCATTAACCTTCCTAGCATCTATTGCTATGGCCGCTTGAATGATACCCATACATTCCGCCTGAAAGACCGTGTTATAGGTACCCAGCGGTGTGCATATGTGAATATTGAGGTCTTCAGAGAAAGCTCCAGAACCTACACCTTCATTTGTTTTAGAACCATCGGTGAAAACTCTAAGCTCTTTTGGGCTTAATCCTTCCGGCTGGCTGTTTTCATTTAATTGTATCTTGTATTTCTTTATCGAAAACAAATTGTTTAGGATTCCTTTCGTATTTGGGTTGTAGGATAGGAATTTCTGAGTGAATTCTATCAATTATGCCTGTATGAGGGACACTATTCTTACTCCAAAGATTTAGGGTCTTGAGTCTGATGGCAGCTAAAGTCGCTTCTTGTTGTATATGTAGATGAAGCGGAGTTAGCTCCAGCATCGCTTCCAAGGCTGCTGTTGGCGTAGTTCTTATGCAGCCTGTGGCAGCCATACATGCCAGTCTCTGGTAGCGCTGAAGCTTCTTAATTGTGGTGGCTTCATTTGTCTTGGTCCACCATACCAGAGCGCCGTATGTGATCATGGGCCGAATTACAGTTTTGTAAAGCCACAGTATAATTTTTGGCGTCAGTCCCCATCTTTTGCCAATCATGTTTCTGCATTGCCAGAAAGTTATACTAGGAAGAACACAAATCCCCCCCCCTCACGGGACTGTGGGATTAAAAAAAAAAAAAAAAAAAAAAAAAACTTTGTTGATTTTGTTTTCTATGTGTTTATTCCAGTTAAGTTTGCTGTCCAAGGTAAGACCTAAATATTTTACCTCAGAGGATAGCTGGAGTTTTGTGCTGAAAAGACTTGGAAGATGATAGTTATTCAGCATTCGTTTTTGTGTGAACATTACTAAAACCGTTTTATTTGGATTGACGGTTAAATCGTATTCCCTGCACCATCTCTCCACTATACGGAGAGCCGCTTGGGTCAGGTCGCACACTATGCTTGCTGTCTTTCCCGAGACCAGTATTGTCAGGTCATCAGCATAACCTACTGTATAGAAGTGATTAGTATTTAATTTGCTGATGAGTTCATTAATGACCATATTCCACAGGAGAGGTGAGAGAACCCCACCCTGCGGGCAGCCTTTCTTAATTAGGATTGGTTGAGATTCACCAGCAATCTTTATTATTCGTGTACTGAGCATGCAAACTATCCAGTCGAACAGTGCTGGTTCAACTTTATGTCTACTGAGTGCACCTTTTATGCTGGAGAAGTTCGTTCTGTCAAAAGCACCTTCTATATCTATGAAGGAACCTAGACATATTTCTTTGTTTTGGATGGCCTCTTCAATCTTTGTAATTACCTGATGAAGTGCCGATTCTGTCTTTCTGATTTGCCTAGACTGTAGGCGTGTTGCTTGTCGTATAGTGGTAATTTCATTAGCGCCGACCCCCCTTAATTCCCTTTCACACATCCTCTCCATCGTCTTTAGGAGAAAGGATGTGAGGCTAATGGGCCTGTAGGATTTAGGGTCAGTGTAATCGCTCTTACCTGGTTTGGTGTAAATGTGACTTTCACTTCCCTCCATCCCCTAGGAACATATTTAAGAGCCAGACAGGCTCTCATTATGGCAACAAGTCTGACTATTAGGGCTTTACCCCCCCCCCACTGTAGGAGTGCCGGGAATATGCCGTCAGGTCCTGCCGCCTTATAGGGGAGGAAACTGTGAATGGCCCAATGGATTTTATCCATCATTACCACTCTCTGTACTAAATTCCAGTATTCTACTGTTGGTGTCGGTATGTCGTCATGCCGGTTTGCCTCCTGGGTTACGCAGCTACCTGGGAAGTGCGTTTCAATTAGGATGCGTTGGGCTTCATCCGGCGATGTTGAGTAGCTACCGTCGGGTTTCTTTAGAGACATGGATCCCGACGTGTTCTGTTTAGCTAGAATATTCCTTATCCTATTTGCTTGTTCGCAGGTTTCTATGTTGCCACAGAATTTACGCCACCCAGTCGAGCGTCGATACCTGATACATTTTTTGTATTCAGACTTAGCTTTCTTATATAGTAGCCAGTCTTCATCCATTGAGGTATTCATGGCCCTATTTAGGGCTTTTCTTACCTTCTTACGTTTCCTATCGAGTTCTTCACCCCAACCACTGTTGCTTTACCTCGGCATGCCTTGGTGGAGTGATTTCTGGACATGATTCATGGTAGCTATCTATCATGGCCTTAGTAACAGCTGCTACCTGTTCTTCTAGGAGCGACTGATCTGCTATAGTATTTATCCCCTCACAACCCGCGAGCGAAGACGTCAGCCTATTTAGGTATTTTGTTTTATCCGTCTTGCGGGGATTTCTCCATGGTGGTGTAGAGGGGATAACGACCTGTAGTGCGAAGCAGATCCATCTATGGTCTGAGCATGAGGCCTCTTTCGACACATGCCATCCCGTAATTAGTTTGGCTGCTCCTTCTGTTGCAAGTGTGAGGTCGATTATAGTGCGACAGCGTTTTTTTATGAAAGTAGGTTCAGAACCTATGTTTAAAATGGTTAGGTTAGTACTAAATAAATATTCAACTAAAACCTTACCTCGTTCATTTGGTTTTTCCATTCCCCAAGGGGGATGATGTGCGTTGGAGTCCGTCCCGATCACAACCTCTAGTCCGGTCCTCTCGCAGAAGTTCACCAGCCTGCCGAGGTCATGAGGGGGAGAAGTGTCTTCCTCCGGCATGTAGACCGAGGCTACGACTAATCTTCTCTCCTGTGTGTATTGTATTGCCACGGCATACATGTCTCTAGAACAGAAATCTGTTAATGGTTGTGCACAGATATCTTTAGTAGTGTAAATACACGCTCTAGGCTTGTCGTGTTCACAGCTGTAGAATAGCTTACTTTTTAGGTTGTTTAGGCCTTTAATTTTACCAGCCCCAACCCACAGCTCCTGGATTAAGGCTATGGCAGTCCTGTGAACCTCCAACCACTTGCGTAATTGAGCCGACGTAGTTTCGCTGTGGTGGAGGTTGGCCTGCACTAGGCTAGTTTTGGACGAAGGGCACGCCATCATTGATCGCGTCCTCCCCGTCCCCGTCCAAAAATAGGCCTGCCAGAAGATCTCGGGTCTCATCGTCAGCCACCGAGTCGAAAGTGGTCGGCAAAATGCAGTCCTCTTCGTCACTCAGTGAGCTGCCGCTGAGCCCGATCTCCACTGGGGGCTTCGGCTCAGTTGTGCAGGCCGTTTTTTCACTGGACTTGGCCTCCAGTGATTCCGCTGTACCGGTAACCGTGGCTCCGGTATCCATAACTTCCGGGTTGTTTTCTACCTCTTTGCTCGGTGGAGTGTCAAAGAATTTACCTCCACGACCCTGGAATTTTACGTATACCGCCCCGCATTCACATGCGAGACGGCGTCCGGCCTTCATCAGGGTCGGGATATGATCCTCCGGCACCGAAACAACGAGGAACCACCCGTCCGTCTGCTTATCAGCCTTGAGTAACAGCCAGTCCCTGATGTTAACCCAGCGGTTCTGGTACGCCAGCACGCGACCAATGTCACGTGAGTCTTTCCAGGCTCCTTGGGCATCAGGGATAAGGATACCACATTTGACTCTTTGTGGTATCTCTGACTGTTTCTTTATTGTCAGCAAGGTGTTGGATTTAAGATCGAGGGTAGCAATATTCCCCTTCAACCAGTCCAGAGCCTTCTGATCGTCGCACCACAGTTTCAGGACACCCTCCGTATAAACGGGTTTGCCCCTAAAAACTGGGCCCGACGCATCAGGGTCCTGGCTACTCAACGCCTCGCTGATTATCTTCCTCTGTATTGCTACGAGGATGTCGTCTGCTACTTCCTTCGTAATGTGACCTGAACGCGCACACGTTAAGGCCACACCCAAATCTGCTCTAGCAGCGGTAGCGTAGCTCGTTCTTGCGGCCTTTGGTTGCTGTTCGAGTCGCACTTTTTTGTGTTCCCCTCTAGGCGAGGTGGACTCTTCCAGCATCCTTTTGGCTGCTCTTTCCTTCTTCCCAGGACGCTTGGCCGCTCGCTGCTTCCTGGCGGATATCCTAGGTCTGGTTCCCGCGGCCGCGACTTCCACTTGGGCTGGATTTTTATCCTTCCCAGCTTCAGTGCGGCTACTGGTTCCAGCTCCAAGCACCCCAGTCGTAGTAGCTTGCCCCGCCTCCTTGGTTTTAGTTTCGGAAGCAGCCAATGCGGCTCGTTCTCTTCGGCCTTTTTCCCGCTGCTTCTTGTTCTTCTTTTTGGCCTTACCACTACTGCCTGCAGAGATAGACCCTCCTGATGGTCCGTCAGGTCGGCAAGTCACCTTTTTGGGTGCCTTGCCTTTCCCCTTACGGCTCACCACTTGCCAGGCAGCAGAGAAAAAGGTCGTCAGTTCGTAGTGGCTCCGCAGTTTTGTTACTCGCGGGCTCTTGTTCTTTTTTCTCGTCCAGCTCCTTGGAACTGGTTTTGGAAACGTTCAGCGAGGTAGTTGTCCTTTTGGTGGGGGCACCTACGCTGGACGCTACTGTCCGTGGAACCGTCGGTTTAGTGACGGTTCCCCCTTGTTCTTTGGTGTCTCTGGTAAGCACCTCTGACACCTCTCCCTCTTTCTTATTGGGCCTTAAATTGTCCATAATTTTTTTGTTCTTTAAAATTCATCCCCCCGGCTTCCCACCCTCCATGGAGCCCGCACCTTTGGGAACGCCTTATTTCAGGCGTTAGGATTACCGGGAGAATATAGGGACGCGAAGTTGGCTCACAGCGCGACATCGGGAGCTCGATCCAGCTGGTAGATGGGGCTGACAAGGCCCATCCCCACCACCCGAATAAACTGTCACTTGCTCCGTCAGCATGGCCTTTACCATCACCCAGCCCCCTTTTCAGGAAAACTAGGCAGCCCCCACATCCCTCGCCTGCGACCCTCTGACGGGGCGTTTGGCCATTTCCCTATCTGTGGCTAGCAGATAGGGCCACCGTTTAGCTTGAAATCCGGACCAAAGAGGGCGTGTTGCCTCTCGCCACTATATATCCCAGCAGCGATAGGCTCAACCCTCCAGGACTCCTTCATCCCCGCGTACGGCGCTCGACTGCGCAGGTCCTAGCGCAGGTGGGTGTGTTTGTCCACCGGATACACCCACTCTCTCCGACTGAACCGTCCCCTCCTCCTTTCTCATCCGGGCTTGGGACCGGCAATGGCGGAGTTCCCTTAGATGGTAAAACGCACTGTATTCGCGCAACAAAAGCCTTTTGCCTTGAAGACGCCCAGATTGTAATAGAACGGAAAAAAATTCACTCCTTTCCTGTACGCATTATAAAAAAGTGGTAAAATTAAAAAAAATTGTACAACCGACTTCAATATATATAAATTGATAACATCATCAATGTACATGATACCACATGAGGAGGCATCAATCAGCTTTCAAATAAAAAGTTATCCTCAAAATCGGTTCACTTAGAAAAAACAAAAAAACATACAGTCGAAATGATTACCACTTCCTTTTTTTAAAGTCGGTTAAAAATGAAGCAATCTGGTTTGTGTGAAATTTCCTTTATTTTTATCATCAGCCCCCGTCTATGGCTGTACATGGCGTCTCAAATAGTAGGAAAGATTTAACATAATTGCTTATCTGCAATGGAGCAACGTGTCAAACTGTTCCTTGTTGTATGATTTCTTAAAGATGAGAAAAATTTGCGAGGCTTTAGGAGTTAATAGGACATTTATTTTCTAACCATCCGCTTCTGTTACAGCCTATTAAAGTCCACGGCTAAAAATAAGCCTCCTCCATAGATTGCCTCATAAGCGGAATATTTGTCGTGGTTGCCTCTTACGACATCCCCCGTGGATGTCGTAAGAGGCAAATTTTTATGTGGTAGTGGATAGTTTTACTCCGCCACTACACGGTCAATAGTAATTCAGAGTAAGTTTATTTACGAGTGCATTAAATACAACATCAAAAGGTAAAAGTCGACTTGAAAAAACCGAGAAGATTTAAATAATTTCACATTATAAAGTCGATGCTAGGACACGGTGTATACAATAGAATTAACACACCACTTCGGAATGTGAAATTATTTTTAACCCCCGACCAAAAGAGGGGTGTTATATGTATGTAGTCTATCTGCGTGTCTGTCTGTTTCAAAGTAGCTTCCAAACTTATGAACCAATTTAGATTTCGTTTTTTTTTTTTTTGGAAGGTGACTTGATCGAGAGTGTTCTTAGGTATGATTCAAGAAAATCTTTTCAGCCGCTTGAAGATCATCAGATGTTTTTCTTTGGGGGTTTTAATTTAAGTTATATTCTTTATAGTTCTTTGAAGTATGCTTTTACATTATATTTGAACAATGAGAGGATCCACGACGTTTTCTGCCACAGGGCGGCGTCTCTTCAAAATGACAATGTTTGACAGATTTCATAGCGGGGAAGTTAATTTGTTCGAAAATTGTAAAAGCTGATGTTTCTTTTGTGCTATTAATATTTTTTATTAATTAGATTAAAATAAACTCGACCACCTATATTCATAAAAATATAAAAAGCAATTTAAAAATGTGCAAACAATTAAATAACAAACCACAGAGGCCTTGTTTTGTGTATTAGTATAATACTCTTGATATGGATAAACTTTTATTTAAAACTAAGTTATCAATTAAGTGACATTGTGTAACAAAAACCTCCACCTCAGTGTTAACCAGCGACATCTGATGAGCGTAAGATTGTTAGCCCTCCTTAGAATCTTATGCTACGGTTGAGCTTAGTTACATTAAAAACTTAACCCCTATTTTGGCAGCCTTAGGGGTGGAATGTTTTTTCTATATTTATATGGGAAACCTCTGCAATATATAGCGCTACGGTTACAGCATATAAAAGTGTTTTGCGAAATATAGACTTACTACATAAAGTGGATACTACTTGGCAAGGTTGGCAACCGCAGTTTAATATAAATAACAAAAATCGTCTTTTAAACAGATTTACCATTGACGAACATATCGCTTAACGTACACAAAACAAACATTCAAATTGAGAATCTCCTCGTTCTTTTTTTTTTTTTTTTTGAAAACGGCTAGAAATCTACTTCGACTTAAACGCTTAAAGTTACTTCCTCTCTATCTTCACTTAATGACAATAAAGAAACAGTAGCTAATACTTAAGTCCAAAGAGGGATAATAAACTTTTATAAGTACTACCGCTTATTTGTACTATCTACAAATTCAAATAAGCAAAGTGGAATACCACAATCTAGCGAGATCCAGCATAATTTAAGGCATTGCGGGATCCCGCAACAGCTTAAGGATCCGCGTACGGATCCGTAAGGAACTAATCGAGCTATTTCATTCAAATTTGTAGCCTTAAATTTTTCAATTAGCCGAAATATGTTTAGTTAACTAGAGTACAAGGGATATACATAATTGCCAAATATATTTGTAAAATATAAGATATTTGTTATACTTTTTGAACCTTTGATTAATAAGTAGTTAAACAGTAATATAATTTACTGCCGCACTCAGAAAGGTTCATTAAATTAGTCTTAATCAGTACTTAACTAATTAGCATTAACTCCGTTAACGAACGGAACATCTCAGAGACATAATTTAAGGGTTCATTAGTTAATGACGACTTTAAGTATCCGTAAGGTGTAGTAGGATATTGCTGATTTTTTATTAATTTTCAATAAACATTTGATTATATCACGACAAAGAATATTTGTTTAAATTCCAAAAAAAAAACCGTAACCTTTTCGTAACTGTATTTAAGTCAATAAAGCAAAAATCCCGCTGGATTGAAAACAGTTCTGGATTACAATCCCTAATTCGTACTTTTAGGTTTATTAAAAATATTAAATCGAAATGAACTACTTTTAATGTATTATTTTTTGTGATTCCAGCAACCACCTTCCCACGGCCCACCAGGTATTCTCGACGGGATGCTTTGGCAGAGTATACACCCTCTCGATGTTAAAGGTATAAATAAATGCTTAATATATTATGTACGTTGTTTTAACTGCCATGTTTATAAATATAAAAGATTATTGTTGTTTGTTGATGCGTGCGTGCGCGTGCGTGAGTATTTCATGCCAGACAGCACTACAGTAAGTGTATATAATATTGTATACCATGAATATATTACGGACAAATTAAATTATTTTATAAGACAGATAAATTTCGTTTCTTCATTTTCTTTTCTGAATTATTTTTTCGCTTAGGTACTGCACATTTCATAATTGAAAAAAATCTCCCACACTTCAAAGTTCTTTTTGTAATTTTTACTATATGTTAGAGCCATGGTAGCTCAATGGTTAAGCACTCGCCCTAAATTTCACTACAAAAACGCATAGGAACCGGCATGTCTGAGAAATAACAATTAATATTTTAAAGACATGTGAATTACAACAACACGCATTGAACCAGCGCAGTGGATATTTCCTTTCCGTAAAAGGCTGTAACTTTACTTTTACTTTACAACATATAACATTATTATTTGATCCCCGGTTTCCGTATTCATTATTGAATTAGCCTTTCGAATTCTAAGTGATCCGACCCAGCGAGTGCCTTCTAATATGTAATTAGCGCCTTCTGTTTTGTGATATTCAATTGTTTTATGCATGTCCAATTTTTTTTATAAAATAAAGGTGACAAACGCACACAAAGCCCACCTGATAGTAAGTGGATGCTGTGGCCCATAGGCATTTCGACGTTTATTCTCGATTAAGAATCCAAATGCAGATCTGTTGTTGCCATTGAGTACTAAGATTTAATACCTCGTATAAAGTAAACGGGGTCCCGGTCCTACTTACCATACGAAACACAGCAGTATTGGGCTGCTATTTTTCGGGTACTGGTATTCTGCTAGAGCGTGATCATTCCCCCCCGGTCGAGGCGACCCATTTATGCTACAACTATAATATATCTAGAGCCATGTTGGCTCTACCACGTATAAACTGCCTTAGGCAATTATACTACATGTAACAAAAACCCTGTGGTTCCCGTTAAGTGCGTCATCAGAATCAGTATTCAAACCAGGGATGTTCCGGATGCCGATTTTTTCACATCCGCGGATGTGAATGCGAATGCGGATGCGGATGTTTAAGATCTTATATAAATATAGTATATGAATGAAGAATAAAACAATGATAAAGTAATTATTAACATTTTTGCTTTAAAAATTAGTATTAAGTATAATTCTCCAATTTTTATTTAAGTATTTCACTTATTAATTTTCATATTAGTTAGTGTACCTAATGATAAAGTAATTATCAACATTTTTATTAATGAAAATTTTCATATTAGTAAGTGAAGTTAAAAATACTTAATAACGAGTTATACTGCCGCCTTTTCTGATTCAAGGAGGTTACGCAGAGGTTTGTAAATTAAACCTGCGCTACTAAATAATTGTTCGCTAGGAACACTGCCTGATGGAGTGAATAAAAATCTTCATGATATCGGTGATAATATCTTAAATTAATCTCGATGAACACTCCATCACTTGAGAGGATTTTCATTCACATTGAGTCTTTTTTTTAGCGCGATATGAAAGTAATTCCTTTTTGAGTACAGCTTCAGTTCTACCATTTCCTGGTACTTCTTGACTCTCATCTTCACTTGACGAATCTAAATCTAAATATAAACAAATCGTAAAAAGAGTTCTTTTGAGGTCGCTTTTACAATTTAAACCTGTTATGATTATTATCATAGCAAAATGTGATTATTTATCACAAATATAAAATTTATGAAAAATATAAAACTTTTTACTGTCTAAAGTCATAATTAATAAGTATATAATTTAAATTAAGACAAAAATAGAACAAATAACTAACCGACATTTACAAAGAAACTAAAAGGCGAAAGGAATGAGTATTTCTTAATTTGGTCGGATTATACAAGCCAACCTGGCTTGTTTGTATGCATTCTATTTTTTCGTAAAATTGGAAGGATTAAGTATCAAGACAGCTACGACTAACGAAATATTTAAAAAAACATCCCTACCTATTTAAATAATGATATTATGATAAATTGCTAGACTAATTATTTGCTAAAAAAGCGAAGAATTTATCTTCTGTTATTGATTTTCTTTACTCATGATCTTATATTTGGAAAATTCTTCTGGCTGCATCGACGATTTTTAAAGATGAGGTGGTTCGGCCCTTGCGAGAATAGCTTTTATTGGATATTTTACAATCAGTCTTATCAAGGTCCTCTTTAAGTGGTTCAAAATAATTCCATATATTACTTTGTGTCGGTGGTGACATTATTAATTAACTTGTTAGATAATTTAACAATAACGGGAACCTCACTAGATAAATAAAGATAATTGTTTTAAAAAGATAAACTTTACCTACAGTAAAACGTATTACCGGTGTAACATAATGGCATTTACCTGACGATTTCCCAATAAACAATTAATTAAGTACACACAATGATCCACACAACAAGTAATCTACAGCGCAAACAAACACGTTATGATTTATTTACAATAAACAGAGGATGCACCACAAGAAACGCGTCGGATCTTGTCCACCAATGTTTTCGCTCCCATTGATATTTGTCACGTACAAACGGCAGGCGCCATTGGTGGCCCCGCTCATTTCTTTCTTGTCACAACTTGTATTACATTCGCATACGCATGAAAATCCGCATTGATTATTGCGGATGCGGATGCGGATGCAGAAGTCCAAATCTATGCGGAAGCTCCGCATTTGCGGATGCGGATGCGATTATTCGCAACATCCCTAATTCAAACGTATAGAAATATTTTTTTCCAAAAAATCACATTTAAAAAAATAATTTTAATGAAAAAAAATAATTTGCAAATTGTACATGGTTTTATTATTTCTGCATTGGCCGAGATTTAAGAGGATTGTCAAAGACCCCGCATTACCGATACTCGTGTGAGTTAAAGAAAATAGAACCACATATAATTGCAAATAAATTTTTTTTCTTTAAAATTAATTTTTTTTAAATGTTTTTTTTTTATTTGTAATTGCCTCAGGCTGAGAAAAAAATGCATTATTTTTTACATGTGATTAGTTCAATTCCTGTACTCATAATCATTAGTATCAAATCTAGTCTATACTATACTCTAAACTGTTATATATTACATTAAGTATATAATAATAATTAATAGTGTTATAACACTCTTAAATATGTATAAAATGATGCTACTTAAAATTGTTCCCAAAATTTTCAGATGAGGAGGGCGAGGCGACGACGAGCGTCGAAGGCTCTCACAGCATCAAAGATGATGACTGCGTACCTGTAAATGTAAGTCATTCACTATGCAAACCAAATAAGAATAGGACTGACCTGGCGACATATTGTGACGTCATAACTGTCAATTTAAACCAGTTAAGTAGGGTGAGCAAAACATAACATTAAAATAATATTTATTTACAAAAAAAACCATAAACGAAAAAGTATTAATCTGAATTTAGCATTTCAATTTCGCTCATCTCCATCACAGTCTGAGTAGTTATCATTATCATCACCGCTGCTTTCTCTTAAAATAGAACATGGATTTTTGTAGGTATTTAAAATATTCCACCGACTAGTATCAACATTTTAAATTGAATTAATGTATAAAAATATGAGTTCAATAGATTTGGTAATATTAAGACTCAGTTAAATAAAGCGGGAAAAAAAGTTACTTATACGCAAATTAATTTTTTTCAAGTGATAGTTGACAGATAGTTACGCGGTTATTCGAAATCATTGACGTTCCTCTTATTATTGGAATCGTATTGTAAAATTAGTTCGCAACGAAATTAAGCGAATGTATCCAGTATATGGTATATACCATCTTTTCGACTCAGTGATATCACACTGATTTCATATCAGTAGCTCTCTAATGATCCATACATTTTAGATTTTGACTGTTGATAAGTAGATGCTTTGGGCAATCGGTTAAGTATCAAAATACACATGCGTTGTCCCGAGAACCAAGATGGAATGCCTCTTTTCCATTACTGGAAAAGAGGCATTCCATCTTGGCAGGAATCGAGGCACCCATTTGGGTCATTTGGGTCCAAATGGGTCTCCGATTCTTTAGACTCATATGAAGCACAACAACATTAAGCTGCTATTTTACTTTGTGTCCGAACATGGTCATGAACACGCTCGAGCCGGCCGATTCGTGCTGCAGCTGTAATACAACTGTATCGTGACTCTGCCACGTAGTATCTGAAATGGGTTCTTTTTTTTAAACGTTAGAAAAATTAGCTAAAATGAAGATTTTAAATATGGAACTAAGGCTAGAGTAAAAGATATTCTCGCTACAGAAACAATTGTTTCTTATCAAGTTGAGATTAGAAATGGATTTTTTGGAAAAAGCGAGTGCGAAATAACGAATAATCTTTTTTTAGTTTATTTAGGGATACGGCATTCATGGGGGAATTGGAACAGGTTATGTTTTGAACACTAGGATTTTCTCCTGTATCGTGGGGGCAGTTTACAAACATAAATTGCACTAGGACAAACATCCAGACCCGGAACAATTATTTATAGGCCATACAAACACTTGTTCCGTGCGGGATTCGAACCCGCGACCTCCAGCACAGCCACTCATTGCTAAGCCACTGCGCCACGGAGTCGTCTAAATCAATAAATTTGGTTCAAAAATGTTCTTATGTCTACAGATGTCCAATGGACGACTATCGAGCACGAACGACAGCGACGACACGATGCCGAACGTCCTCGAGCCGCAAGTGCAAATAATCCCCCAATCCTCCCCAACGCCCCCTCCACCCCACAAACCTATTCCCAACCCATCCATCAACCCGCTGTCACTAACCTCGCACATACCGATGCTAGCGAATCCTTTGCAAGCGCTAGAGCAAGCGCGAATACAACAGAACTTTCTACAGAAATTAAATGAACTGTCAAATACTCCATTAAATTTAAGTCATCTCGATGAAGAGAAGAGGAAAAACGGTCACGACCGAAGTCAGGAGAAGACTGAAGAGCCGATAAAGCACGATTCCGGAACGGCGACTGAAGAGGAAAGGTTGTACTTCTCTGCCAAAAGGCAACACGCAATATGGGAGCACGAAGCTAAAATGAAGATTTTAAATATGGAACTAAGACAAAAGGAAGAGATATTCTCGCTGCAGAAACAATTGTTTCTTATCGAGTTGAGATTAAAAATGGATTTTTTGGAAAAAGCGAGTGCGAAATAACGAATTGTCTTTTTTTTAGTTTATTTAGGGATACGGCATTCATGGCCCTTTCATGGGGAAATGTGAACAGGTTTGTTTTAAGTGACTAAAACCACATGTCACTGGTTTTATGATAATTAACCGAAAGCTTTTTGTCGAATTAAGTTATATCTTAATTTTTTTGAACTATTAAGCTATGGATATTTTAATGCATGAATGCCTACAAAATAAACTCCCAGTTTAAATGTGTATTGTTTCCGCAACATATCACCCCAAATGATACATTTTATTTTCTAGAATTTTGCTACGTATAAGGTTTCATATAAGACTACATTTCATTATTTTAGATAAAAATTGTTGCGGTAACTCTCGTCAATATAAATGTTCACAATGTGCCATCATTTTTAATAGTTATCGTTTTAATTGCGTCTTCTTTTCCTGCTTTATAACTTAAATATTAATAATTTTCTAAAGGGAATAATCCCCTACTTTTTTGTTAATATACATAAGTTCAAACTATTCTTCAGCTGTAATGTTTGAATTATATGTATTTAAGTTATGTTTTTACTTATAAATTTTAATGTGAAATGTTTTTGCGCTTTCATAGAGCATCTGATTTTTATCTTATTGAAAAGTCAGTAAGTGCTGAGGAAGGTATATTTTTGGTACAATTTACAAAAAGAGCAAATTTTGTGAGCGACTATAAAAATTCCATAATAATCTGTGAACTTAAATAGTATTTAAGGATAACTCTTTTAATAAAAAAAGCCTTTTAAATACATAAGTATTTCTACTATTTACATTGTGTTTCTTCGCACAAATTGTACCAAATATTGGTTTGAAATGTGATTGAAAAAAAGATAAGATTTATTATTATTTTTGTAATCGTGATTTTGCCTAGCTTATTTTTTATCTTTTTAATAGTTTAGTGCATAAAATGTGCTTAAATTTTATTTCGCCATAAACATGGCCAAATTATTTTATAGTATTATCTTAATTTTTCTTGTCCACGGCAGCTGAGCATAATTTGTGTATATTCAACGTAAACTGCCAAATATTTTAAATTTCGATAAATTGTTATTTTTTAATGTTTTTAGTACTTAGTGGAGAGTCCTTTTTATGGGGCTCTTTAAATTTTTTCATCTTAGAATAGTCAAAAGCCCGCTTTTTTGGGCAACGTACTTTGTGACATAAATATGTCATGCCCTTGATCAAAACTGTAACCAATAACTTAGTGTGGTAGGTTTTTAACATTGTTGTGTAATGTAGATATTGTGTGGAAAATATATTTCAAATATTGCATGCAAAAAAGAATACAAATTTTATAAATTATTTAATATCAGAAATGTGCCCATTACCAGTACTCAATTTGAACAAAATGGTGCTTCGATAATATGGCTATATTGTGTTTGATTTATATATTTATAGATATAGGTATTCGTAACGCAATATTTTTTACAGTCAGAAAAGTATGTAGCATGTGATCAGCTAATGTGGCACGTGGCATGTGACGACAGAGCTATTTGTTTTGCACATTAACTACTTTACACAACAACTAAATATTCGAGTCAGCGACGTGCCAACAAACGAAAACCATTGTTATATAATAAATAAATAAATTTTATAGTTATTACATGCATAAGGTAAAATATTACGAAGTAAAATACGTACACAACGTAGACAAATATTGTGGATAATATAATTCAAAACGTTATGATATTATAAATATTTAACGAGTCATAAATTGTAATGTAGAAAAGAAAAAATACATTAAAACAGTACAAAGAGTTTATTAGAAAGTCATTACCTCATTCTGACAGTGTATTGTAAATAAGTAAAAATAGGCTCGATAGTTTTAATAAAATTTTTAGAAAAAACTTTTATATGAAGACATGTTAATTTTTTGTCGATTTTTTTTACCCTTATATCGAAATATAAAGGTTGCCAGTAAAATAAGCATTGGCGGAAAAATAGCGAAAAATTTAAAGTTTGAAAAACAATCTGCTCAATTTTTTTGTTTGGCAACAGTGACAACTATTTTGATATAACAATATTGTGATGTTATTTACTAAGATCTCAGTACAGGTATAAAAATAATGTTATATGGCGGATTTATAATATATTTTTTTCTAAATTGAAAAATAATTTCTGCGAGTATTGAAATGTGTTTTGTAAGATATAATTTTTATTTCAAAACATCCCTAAGTTAATCTGATCAAATTGGATATTATAGAAATTGAATAAAGAATTTATTTTCTGTTCCGATGCATTTTATTCCGAACTGTTGGCCACTGTTTTTTATTTACCCGTTGTAAATATGTTTTTCTACATAATTCATCGAGTGCAGGATACTGCTACCAGAGATATTTAAATATTTCTGCGGATATGAATTCTAAATAAATGAATACCTAAGACTATTCAAGGTTGAATGGTCTAAGATGAATACAGATAATATAATATTCTTATGACAGTGTAACGGCGCGTTATTATTAATAATAAATAATTTAATATAACATCGTCTAAAAATATAGATTATTTTGAACAAGATTATTAGAGACAATATTTTTAATAATTAAAATTTCTTAATAACCATAAAGTTATAATACATTCATTTCGAACATTAAGTATGATATAGTAAAGGGGTTATTCCGTTTATCCACTAAGAAATTCACCCTAGGGTATTACTCCGAAACGCGTGTTCGTTTATCCACCCTAGATGGCGTGGATAATCAGAATTCTCTGATTGTTGTTCCGCTTTTCCACCCCAAGTACATACAGTTCAACAGAAAATATACCAGGCGGTCCCATAATGAACTGGCCTGATATAGTTCAACGCGACATGTCGCTACATGTTGTGTTGCATTAAATAGTACGTTTATCGTGCACTTAATATAAGAAACATGCATCGACATGAAATGCTTAGTCTTAGTTTAACAGGCATTTGAATAACGAGAGTCGCGTATTTTTTCAAAATGTCGAAAACTGAGTATCGAAGTGTCATAAAGTTTCTGTTTAAAGAAGGTTTATCCCCTGCCCAAATAAAAGAACGATTGGATGGCGTGTATAAGGAGTCTGCCCCCTCCTATAGCACAGTGAAAAATTGGGTGAAAGAGTTTCGCCTCGGGAGAGAAACCGTCGAAGACTTTGGCCACGACGGTCGACCTGTGGAAGTGCTCACTCCCGAAACGATCTTATCGAAGAGGAGGTTCTGAGTGACCGTCGTTGGAAGATTAGAGAAATTGCAGCAAGGCTTGGGCTCTCTAAGAGTACCATTCATCGCGCGATCCATGAACATCTTCACATGAAAAAAGTGAGTGAAAGATGGCTACCGAAACTTCTTTCAGCGGTACAGAGACATGAAAGAGTGCGCTGCGCTTCGGAGTTTTTGGATCTTTGTGGCGAAAATCCAAAGACTGTGATCGAGCGGCTAGTGACTGGTGATGAAACTATGATCTTGTATCATGATCCACAAAGCAAGCGCGAGTCAATAGAATGGCGTTATAAGGGTGAAAAGCCCCTTAGAAAGGCAAAGGTGTAACAACCGACTAAAAAACTGATGTGCACCATATTTTGGGATTTTCAAGGCATTTTGATGGTGGATTTTAAAGAACGTAATACAGTCGTGAACGACGAATATTTTGCTTCTTTAATATATAAATTACGAGACAAGATAAAGGAAAAACGAAGAGGCAAGCTGTCTAAAGGTGTCCTGTTGCTCCATGACAACGCCCCTGTTCATACCGCTGGTGTTTCGAAGGATGCAGTTCGTCAATGCGGGTTCACAGAAGTTCAACATCCACCTTACAGTCCAGACATGGCCCCGTCCAACTATTATTTATTTCCAAATTTAAAGCGGGACTTAAGAGGAAGAAAATTTTCAAGCGATGAAGAGTTGCAGGCGGCCGTCTTCAGTCATTTTGAGGATAAAAAATGTGATTATTTTTATAAAGGTTTAGAGATGTTGATTCACAGATGTAAGAAGTGTGTTAGTATTCATGGTGATAATATTGAAAAATAATATTGGTTTCGTTTCATTTCCTTCATTGGTTCATAGTTAGGCCAATTCATAATGGGACCGCCTACGTATATTCATACTTTTACATATTATTGATGAATTTTTGATGACCACAAACTTAAACGAAAATCGTAAGTATGACGCGTTGCATTTAAACCACATTAAACTTCCTTGTTTTAAATAATAATAAGCAATTTTTAAGATAATTGATAGAATCAGGCGTTACTTTGCGGAAATCCATTATAATAAAAAATAAAAATATAAACTACTTCTCAACCTTCCGCTAAATAAATACAATGATGTGTCTTACCTGGATTGAGGATGGAGGTGCTCTTCAATACAGGTAAGACACATCATTGTATTTATTTAGCGGAAGGTTGCGAAGTAGTTTATATATATATTTTTTTATAATAAGCAATTTATAAAATCTACAATACGTACAGGAAACGTCCAACACTAATTTCATTATTGAGTAGACGTAATTGTATATTATCCTGTATAAATTCGTCTCTCAATAAAAGACATTTTAAAATTCGTTAAGTACCGTACTATATTCAATACTGTGTTTATATAATTAACAATATTTTTTGTTAAATTTAAATATCTACTTCAATAAAATATAATTGAAATTAATTGCAGTAAAACATTTCTTTCATCATAAGATATCTCTCAAATGAGGTAAATTATGTCAGATCTTTTGAGTATTAATAATGATATGTAATTGAAAAATTAAAAGTATTTCAGTTTTGACCTTTAAACAAGAAGTACATGTAAGTATTTTTATAATTAAGTATGTTTCTTAACATACTTAATTATACTGAGTAATCTTGGGCCAGTTTCTGTCACGTTTTTATAATCATCATTACAGCCCATCTCAAGTTCACAGCTAAACGTAAGCCTCATAAAACGCGCCTTTTCAATATTAATAACAGCTGAATGAGAGAATAGCAAGAGCAATGTTTCGAAAATGGAGTCTTTGATTATTTTAAAATGTCTTCAAGAAGTT